CGACCTATAAATAATAAAAAAATGCAAAGAACACATTCTTTATTTTGGCTAAAAACTGATAAACACTGAAACATACGACGGCGATGACCAAATCAGAACTGCTGTGATAAGATATCACACAAATGGCTCGCAACCGTATCACGTGAACTCCGCACTGTCAATCGATACATCTACAACTATTCGGGTTAATCTGTTTCAGCATATTTTCTCTGGTAAGCGCAACACATTCAGGATTTACTGCAGTGGAACTGACAGGGCCTGAGGAAATTATTTAGCAAATTTCAAGACATACAAAATCATCTGACCCCTAATTAAAGTTATGGACTTTTTATTACTTAAAGAAACAACTAATTAAGCTTGCTCATAAAAGAAACATTAACCTGCACCGCTCCCAACGCCCCACTCCCATTACGCAGATTATAAGAATTAGTATTTGGGCATGTAGATCACTATAAATACTAAGGAATCTGGGTCCAAAAATTTTTTTGTTTGATTGCTAAATCCGATAACTCGCTCTGTTAGTGCGAGATAACGAGTTATAATTTAAAGTAATAAAATCGGATGACCACCAACGTTAAGTCCTCAATGTTTCCGGGACGCAGGAAAACGGACAATTCGCGTAGAAGCTCTCGGAATCACCGAGATGCTGGGTACAGCCATTCAAAGGTCTCGGGCTATACATGTGGAATGAAATTAGAATCTCGAAGATTTTTCAGAGCTAATCACTGGCTGAAGAATGGATTGGCCCATGGGAAAAAAATTAGAATATTAACTGCCTACTGTGTCTCTCTCATTTCATTCTTCCTGCTCCGAATTACGTATCAATTCGATTACCCAAATAATCAGTTATTATCCGACACCCACACTGCTAATTACTGGCCAAAGTACTGAAACAATAAATGCTTTCCTTGAACAAAATTTTATATACTGAAAAGTACAAACAAACACCATGGCTTGCTTATTCGGTTCTAATCGAATAAGTGTTCCAATCTGTTGCATCTTCGTATTGATTATTCCAGCGCAAACATAATTTTCAGGATTTGGATCGACTTGTTGCAGCAGTTTCGGACCAAAACCAATCAGCTGCAACACTAATTTTTTCCACAAACCAAACTACAAAAATACGAGTTATTAATAAAAATTCTGTCAAGCACAATTACGACTAAGAAATACTTAACTCTAGTTTTGTATTAGATATTGCCGAGGAATCTGGACCTTTGCGGGAAAAGCAAAAAACAGGACAATAGTAAAATCCCACTGTTCCCAGTATTTCAAAAAGATATGCCCTTTCCTCCCAGATATGCAGCTTGAATCGGCTGCATTAGCTTCAGTGAATGTACTCATTCATTTCGTGAAAAAGCAGACTGCACAACGGCACTTTACCTGACAATGTCACATCAAATATGATAGTCCAGCAAACTGAATTAAAATGATAAACTAAAACCAGTAACGAGAGAAAACCAACACAGATGACCCAACCTAAACCTTTTGAAAATCCCCCCTCCGACCCAGATGGAGCAAGACACCACCTTTGCTCGGATTTGTTCCGGATCCATAGCTGTTTTTGCAGCAAATATTTTCTGGTTCTCTTGGGTCGACCTGTAAGCAAAATTTATAAACATTTCTGCCTCCTGTACCACATCAAACCGGCCTTACTATGCCATCCAGACCTCATCGTACTCTACCTCGCTGAACCACGTCGCAGTCTAAACCGTACGACAGTCATATCGGACCGTTCCATGCCGTACCAAACTAAGCATATCACACCACATTACACTGTGTTACATCATCCCGAACTATTCACAAGACGCCAATTTGAGGCTGCATCATACTATATCCGATCGCAGGATGCCATATCAGGTACAACACATTAGCCTATAGTATACTACCGAACGTCAGGCCACCCTGATCGAAAAATTAAATAATTGGCCAACGCACAGGCTGCTCGTGCGAAGATGCGCTTTTTGCATAGTTTCCCGCAGTTTTTGTCGCTGCCGGCACTGGCTTTTTCGGTAAATGCTTCTAGCCAAACAAATTAAGACTAGCCGCAAGAACTGTCAGGTAACACCCCCTAAAAATTTCAGCTTCCTAGCTTTCTTGGCTCCTGACTCCTGAGCTAGCAACTTACCGGAAAAAAATTTCACGGTCCCGCACGTGGATACCAGGCATATGCGATGTATGGGTTTGAGCTCGTCCACTTACGTGGAAAGGGAACATCCTCTTAAAACTACAGTCTTCTAGCTTTTCAGGTTGTCGAGTTAGCAAATTACCCGAGAAGAACTTTGGTGAGCCCGTGCGTAGGTACCACGTAAACTCGAGGGCTGACTTTGAGCTGAATGAGACTTAGGTGGACGGGGAATATCCTCTTAAAATTACAGTCCTTTAACTTTTCAGGTACTCGAGTTATCAACTTGTCGGAAAAAAATTTTGGCTGGCCCGTACGCGGGTACCGCGCGGGTAATGGCGTCCATTTTGGGGATTGGGGCTCGTACACGCATGTAGATTAAGTTCCCGAAATTTCAGCTCTGCAGCTTTTATAGGTTTTTAAAGTGAAAGTGCGTGACAGACGCACACACAGACAACCCCTCTTCAATATGGGTTTTTGCATTGCATAGCTGCAAAAGACGCATAAAAACAGAAACATACTGAGAAAGCTGCTTCCAGCGAGTAAAAAACTGTTCCGACGACATGTCGGTTGGTTCGAAAAATTTGTTAATGAAGACAGGCAGTGCGAATGTTTTGTCAAATGTTTGCTGCCTGCTGCTACCATTACTGCAAAATGAATATTAGTGTCTTATGGAAGAATTGGAAAACACAGAAAAGAAGCTTATCTCATTTTGCACTCATAACTGCAAAAAAAACTGCCAAGCTATACATACTGATGGGCAAAAATTTCGAAAAAATTAGAAAATCCAGTTAAACTGACAAGAAAAAAACACTAGTAAATGCCGAGGAATCCAAAACAAAAATCTGGATTTTGAACAATGATACAGAGAAGGAACATCCATCTGAACTTACGAAAACGAGAAGGCGAGATGCAGAAGTGGGCAGCGATGAAATTCTTGCTCGCACACAAAATTGATTAACTGTTGAACTTGTGAGCCACCAGTGATAGTGCTGTCCACTGGCTTGCACTGAAATTCAGCACTTTCAAAACACAGCCCTGGACATTTGCAGAAGCAACACAGGAATACAGTACTTCATCAAAATAACCGATTTACCTAAGCATCCACCATAAGAGGTGGCAGAAAAGCCATAAAATTATTTCCCTTAACGATTACTCAGTCAGATATTCACAAGCTGAAAATCCGCACTAGCAGCACCAGCAGCAGCAATAACAACAAACAGCCTGTGGAATACAGCAACAAAACAAAATATTTTTATCAGAATAAAGCCTCATGTCCGTGGAAGCAACATAACTTAAAGGGATTATGAACGCGCTGAAATGCTGCCAGCAAAGTGTTTTCTTTGTTACGATCTGCTAAGCTTACCGCTCCAAAATCCAATTCCCTGCTTTCACAGTAATACTTCCCTCATCAGCTCATTTTAATGCCTTTTTAGCAGCTTCGTACTCCCTTAGCTTACTTTTTTGTTCTTCGATTTGCGTCCCCAGCCAAATTTTCCGAATATTCTTCCCTCAAATACAATTCTGGCACCTTCCAAGTGCCTTTTCTGCTGCATACACCAGTATGAGAAATCTGGGTTACCTGTGCAATTAGCTGAGTGTTCAGTGGACTGGGACAGCAAAGACTTGTGCTAAATTCAGTGAATGAGTAGTTCGTTTTGTTACCATAAAACATTCCCAAGCGTGCCAAGTTAGCACGCGTTTCCAGCTTATATCCAACTTGGATGGTAACATCTTCATAAAGAACACCGCTGTTCTTTACCGAAAATCTAAAAAAATCGAAAAGCATATGAACTGGTAACTGAATGGAGTAATGAGAAGGCAAATATATTCAGGAAACACATCGGATACTAACCTCAGCACATCAGGGAAATTGTTAACGGTGGGTTCACCATTTGAGGAGGTGGCCGCTGAAGAAACACCATTTGCTACAGCAGCTGCCGGTGAACCAAATATGTCCACAAGAGTTCTGGACTCCGCACTCGGGCTGATATCCAATAACTGACCAGATGTTCGTTTTGCATCCTTAATGGAGTTGTAAACAAAAAAAAAATCTCTTCACTCTTCACAGCACAGAGTGACCCAAACAAAAAAAAACAGCGGAGGCGCATACTGGGTTTGCCAATACAGTTATGCATTTTCGTACATTCTGCCCCATAGACGCTTGTTGCTAAGCAGCACTGTTTTTTTTTTTTGGACAGGCACTTCTAGCTAAACGAATAGAAATATGCATCAAATTCGTACTCGTTATTATCAATATTTATATTTAGTTATATTAATTTGTGACCAAAAAGTTTTCAGCGCCAAATTGTACCGCGCTTGAGATCAGAGAGGCTTTTCACACATACATACATACATACATACATACATACACACACACACACTTAACTGAATATAGTCGTAGATCATGCATACAACTGCCTACGCTACTTGAGTTGCGGAATTGCCAAATTATCAACGTCATCTCGTATTTGTCCGTACACGAGATGCAGAAGAAAAATGAATATTTCTAACACTTACCCAAACACGGCCGTGGGCTAAACTCAAAAAATTTCAGCACTCTAACTGCTTTGGTTGATCAGTTACAAAACTGTCAGCGTCAAGTTAAATGTGCTCGTAGCATGAAACGTGAAAATCGCTTTCAAATGCACCTTGCTAAACGCGGTTGTGGACCATGCACACAAGCACTATAGCTACTATGATTATGGAGTTGAAAAACTGTTAACACCAGTTTGCACGTGCCCAAAAGTGAGATGTGCGGGGACTGATAGAGCTCGAATGACACGTCCATATGTGAGATGTCGGCATGTGCAAGGGATGAATTTAAATTTTCTGGGTCGTATACGCCAAGTGAACACCCTTGTGAAGCTTCAAAATTCCAGTCTGACTGACTCCCGAAATTGCTTCCCTGGCAGAATACCTTTTATGTGTCCGTATGTGAGACATAAGGCGTGAGCGTTCATTTTACATCTGAGAATCCGCCTACAGCGGTAGAGTACGCGCCAAAATTTCAGCTTCATAGGTTTCGTAGGTCTAGAGATCCAAGTATGCAGAAGTGCATACATAAACATACGCATCCTCGCTACACTGCACTGCATAGATGCAAAAAACACATAATTTTTAAAAAGGATTCCTTACGAAAAACTTCAAATTGCATAAAATGATTTACTTGGTTAATCAGGGCGGTCGGGCGCTGTTTCTTCTCTGCAGTCTGACTGACGAGCTCTTCAACATGCGGCTTGGATTTCTTAAGTTTTGCAAGCAGAGAGCTTTCTTTCTCCGGGAAAGGTGGCATTTCCTCCAGAATCTAAACTTTCTGAAGGTGAACGAAATGCAATCCTCACTAAGCATGTGTTCGAAAGTACAAGTCATTCAGTTCTTTCAATGAAGATCAATCGTACAAACAGTTCTAAACAACCGTGACATTACCGTAGCAAGAACATCTGGAGAAGCGATTCTGGACAACTGAAGATATTCAACAGCGCGCTGCTGTAATTCCGCATCAGGGTTGCGCAGGTTGTGATCCATGCGAAACACCTAAAGAAAAAAGCATACGAAAAGGATGAGAATTTGACGCAAAAATGAAGATATATTTTGAATGAAATTTTGTGAAAACGCTCACTTCCTGAATCATCCCCTTGATTTCCGGAAAGAGATTGCAGAATTTCACATAAGCTGACAACAGAAGGGACCTTGTAGCAATTGAGCATAGATGGTATTTACTGTGCAGGAGCTCAAATTGAACCTGCGGGCTAGAAAATGAATAAGGATGAAACCTTACGGAAGACAAAAACGTCAACAGATGAGTTATTTCAACATGTCATATGCGCTTGAACTCTGTTCAGCTTCCGAAACAAACCGGAAGAGCGCGACTGCAGAATCATAGGACTAACACTAACCTCGAACGTGCATCGCCAGCAATCAGATTTCCAAACTCACCCAGTATGTAGCCCCCAACTTTTACCATGTTCTCATGACAAGCCGGCCTCTAAAAATGAAAACTTTATTTCTAGAAACTTTAAAATATCACTTAAGGAATACTGCTGCAACAGGAACATAACCAGGCCACATTACACTTCAAGCACAACCAACATATTCCTTTGATATACCTGTAACGCTTCGAAAACTGTTTTCGCCGCATATCCCTGAACATCCTCACGATTGACCACAATTTGGATAACACGATACCAGACTTCTTCTGATACATAATCGCCAGCAATTCGTATCAATTTTAAAATCACATCCACGTACCAGGTATAATCCGTAGCGTATTTCTCAGCCAGTATAGCAACCTTCAGTACCTGCAGCAGGTTACCAGCAATTAAATTACGTCAGTGCGCAACAAGTAACATCAAGATCACAGAGTGCAGTAAGTCAACAGTGGCCAAAAGAGCGACGGACCAGCTCGCGCATGTGAAGACAAAAATGTGCAATTAATTATAACAGTCTCGGTTTAGTCTAAAAGATAAAGAGGGCCATGCATGCCAGAAGCAACAGTTAGACTAGATGCAGCTCACAATGAGAGCTAATATGAGGATAAAACGAAATACTGAATGGTCCCAAGCAGTGCTGGTGCGGCAGCAAACAGTGCTTAAGATAAAGATCAATCTCCGTACGATTCGTTCATTCGTTTCATCAGTAAGCTGCTATGCGAATATGCCAAGGAATCGTCACTGATATACTTCTAAGCAAACTTCAAAAGAGACAGCCACTGACATCCATATCAGCGAGTGATCTGTTTCTCACAGAAAGCGAATACGGAGGAGGTAGGACAGGAGGAGGAGTTGACGCTGATCCCCTTCCCCCGCAATGTTGAAGGGTCAGCACAAAGATTATGAGGGGAAAATTTCTTTAATGTGTGTTCGGAAAAGCGAGTGAATTTTGTCACTCACTTCCAACTCGATAACAGGAAAAGCTGGCAGGCTGAAATCTTGGGAGCATATGTATCACCCTAGTTATGCGTTTTTGCATAATATGCAAAAACACATATTGTGACGACCCTGGTGTGTGTGAGTGTGTGTGTGTGTGTGTGTCTGTCCGGGTACTTCAACTCGGCACCAAAGCAAGCTCCAGCGCGAAAATTTTCCGAGAGGGTTCCCCGGCCAAGTGCCACCCCAGGGCCCGGTGCCAACCCTCAAGCACGTCTAGGCCCCGCGTACGAGTGCCTCAAAGTTTTAGCGGGAAAATCGCTAACTCGAGGGCCAGAAAAGCTAGAAAGCTGAAACTTTGGGATTATGTCCCCAGTCCAAGTAGAACTCAAAAATTTCAAATTCAGCCCTTGGGGGTTCGTGGTTCCCGCGTACGGCCCCCTGAGGGTTCCTGGCGCGAAAATCGCTAGCTCAGAAACCAAGAAAGCTGGGAGG